TTCCTTTTGTATGAGCTCGGCTCCCTCTTGTACAGTTTTATTGAATGAAATGAAAAGTCTTTCCTTTGCTTCATACTTAGTCTTATTCGCAAAGATTTTATCACGAAATACATCAGTTCGCCGTATGCCGACCTAAGAGAGCTATTCGCTAAGACAAAATAATTTATTAACCAAGTACATTAGTAATAATGAAAAGTCTTGACCTTGGGACGAACCGCGATGCGCGAACTGTCTTCTTAACGGAAAATCCTCAAGTTGGAATTATGCCAGGTACGAGGGACCTCTTCCCCGCTGAGGTGGGATATCTTGCAATATCCAGCTCGATCTGCTTCCTTCACCACATAGGGACCTTCCCAATTTGGGTCCAGCTTGCCCGCGCCCTGCAGCCGACTCACGTTGTTCTTCCGCAAGACCAGATCCCCTGGTTTGAAAGATAGAGGCCCTACTCTAGCATTGTAGTGCCGTGCGATCAGTCCTTTGTACTTGGCCATGCGTATGGCCGCCTCCTCTCTTCTCCCCTCCAGCAGATCCAAGTTAAGGCGCAGTTCGTCCTCATTGTCCCGAGCTATGAAATTCTGAACCCTGTTCGAAGGGGCACCTATCTCTGCAGGGATCACCGCCTCCGCCCCATAGGTTAGAGCGAAAGGAGTCTCCTGAGTAGCAATTCGGAGCGTAGTTCTGTAAGCCCACAGTATGGTGGGCAGCTCGTCCAGCCACCCAGTTCGGGCGAACTCCATCCGCGTCTTCAAGCCGTGCAGGATGGTCCTATTGACATTCTCGACCTGCCCGTTGGCTTGAGAGTGGCCCACCAAGGTGAAGTACTGCCGGATTCCGAGCTCCGAGCACCAGCCTTGAAGAGCACTGTCAGTGAACTGGCGACCGTTGTCTGAGACTAAGACATGGGGTATACCAAATCGGCAAACGATGTTCTTCCAGAGAAACTTCTGCACCGACCTGCTGCTAATGGTGGTAAGGGGCTCGGCCTACACCCATTTACTGAAATAATCCACAGCCACCACTACATACTCATAACCCCCAGGAGCTCGGGGAAACGGACCCAGCAAGTCGATTCCCCATTGGAAGAAAGGCCATGGGCTTTGAAGAGGGATCATCTCTTGAGTCGGGGCGTGATGGATCGGCGCATGCAGCTGGCAGGACTTGCACCGAGCTACCAGTTCAGCTGAGTCCAAGAAGATGGTGGGCCAGTAGTATCCAGACAGCATTCCTTTCTTGGCCAAAACCCTTGGGCCGACGTGGTTTCCACAGATACCCTCGTGCAGCTCACGCAGGATGTAGTTGCCCTCCTCCGGAGTTACGCACCTCAGCCATGGGCGCAGGTAGGACTTCTTGTAAAGTACCCCATTCGAGAGCTCGTACCCTCGCGACCTGAGGAGAACTTTACGTGCCTCCACCCGGCTTGGAGGGAGCTCTCCACCGGCTAGGTATCGCACGATGGGATCCATCCATGAGCTCACTACTTGTAGAACAGCCGCATCCACCTGGTCATATGCCCGATTTCTGACGACCTCCACTAGGACCTCTTTGTTCAACGTACCGACCGAGGTGGAGGCTAGCTTGGATAGTGCATCCGCTCTCTTGTTTTGGCTTCGTGGGACCTGCTTGAGCGTAAACAGCTTGAACTGAGTTCTCAGCTCATGCACTTTTGCGACGTACCTTCTCAGGGGCTCCTCTTTGACCTCGTAACTTCCCCCTACCTGATTTACCATCAGCTGCGAGTCACTGTAGACTTCTATTGACTCGGCCCCCAACTTTCGAGCTATCATCATCCCTGCAACCAGGGCCTCGTATTCGGACTCGTTGTTAGAGGCCCTGAAATCAAACCTCAGGGCGTAGGCCAGCTCATCTCCCATGGGGCTAGTCAGGAGAAATCCTGCTCGGCATCCTTCCTTGCTTGATGACCCATCCACGAACAGTGTCCAGGTCGGGACGGGCCGACCGACCTTTTCGGCGGCTTGGCCGACCTCCACAGTATTTTCGACCTGTCCGGCCTCAGCCGTGCTTTCGCTCGGCCTGTCCTCGGCTTCCTTAGTGGCCTGAATGACCTCGGCAGGTTCTCCGGCCTGCTCGGCCTTGGCTGCGCCTATGGTCTGTTCGGCCTTGGAAGTCTTAGTGACTTTTGTGACCTCGGCAACTTCTCCGGCCTGCCTGGCCTCAGCTGCGTCTTGTGTCGATTCGGACTTGTCGGCCTGCGCGACCTCAGCAGCTCCTCCGGCCTGCTCGGTCTGGGCTGCGTCTCTGGTCAGCTCGACCTGCGACTCCTGTTGTCCAAAGGAGACTCCTTCGGCTATAAAGTCTGCCAATGCTTGGGCCTTGATGGCCGTGCGGGGTTGGTAGCTGAGATCGTACTCGAATAGCTCCACAGCCCACCTTACCATTCTTCCTGATACGTCAAGCTTCGACAGGATTTGCTTGAGAGGCTGGTCGGTCATAACCACCACGGGATGAGCCTGAAAATACGACCTGAGCTTCCGGGCCGCGTGAACTAATGCCAATACATACCGCTCAACCGAGGTGTACCTTGGCTCCGCGCCCTGCAGAGCTCGGCTGACATAGTATACGGGCTTCTGGATTTTACCTTCCTCCCGGACTAGCACCGCACTGATTGCCTCCTCCCCCACTGTTAGATAGATAAATAAGATTTCTCCTTGTGCGGGAGAGGTCAAGACTGGCAACCGAACGATGTGGGCTTTTAGTTCGTCAAACGCTTGCTGGCACTCGGGGGTCCACTCAAACTGGGGACCTCTTCGCAGGGCTCTGAAGAAGGGGGAACCCCGAACTGCAGATTTCGACAAGAACCTATTTAGGGCAGCCATCCTGCCAGCTAGCCGTTGGACCTCTTTTATGTTTCGGGGAGGAGCCATGTCCATTATAACTTTTACCTTGTCGGGATTGGCTCTTACTCCATCCTTGGATATCATGTACCCAAGGAACTTGCCCAACCTGATCCCGAAAGTGCATTTCTTGGGATTCAGCCGCATCTGCGAGCTCCGCAGGACATTGAAGATCTCCCTGAGGTCGCTGATGAACTGCTCCTGAGTTCGGCTTTTTACCAGCATGTCATCTACATATACCTCCATGTTTCGGCCGATCTGGTTTCTGAACATCTTGTTGACCAGCCGCTGGTAGGTCGCGCCAGCATTCTTCAACCCAAATGGCATGGTGGTATAACAATACGTGCCGTATTCGGTGATGAAGACAGTCTTCTCTTGATCCTCCTCGTCTAGAGCTATTTGGTGATACCCTTTGAAGGCATCCAGAAAGCAGAAAATCTCGTATCCAGTAGTTGAGTCGACCAGCTGGTCGATGCGGGGGAGTGGGTAACAATCCTTCGGACAAGTTTTATTCAGGTCGGTGAAGTCCACGCACATCCGCCAAGCTCTGTCCTCCTTTTTGACCAACACAGGGTTAGCCAGCCAGGTCGGATAGTAGATCTCTTTCACAATTTTGGCCTCCAACAGCTTGCCTACCTCCTCTTTGACGACCTCGTTGCGTTCAGGAGCGAAGTGTCTCTTCTTTTGCTTTACTGGCCGGATGCTTGGGTCGACGTGCAACTTGTGAACTGCCAGCTCGGGAGGGACTCTGGGCATGTCGTCAGCACTCCATGCAAAGATCTCGGCGTATTCCTCCAGGAGAGACTCCAGAGCTTTCCGCGTCAGCTCGCTTAGGCCAGCTCCGGCCTTCACCGCGCGATCGGATCGCTCGGGGCAGATGGGCAATTCAACCAGACTCTCATCCATCTCCAACCTTTCCTCCTTCTCAGCAAGCTCCCAGGGTTCCAGACAGGTTGTCTGAGCCACCAGCTTCTCCTTACCTTTGAGGGTTGTGATGTAACAGGCCCGAGCTACCTCCGGATCTCCCAGCACCTCGGCCACTCCATCGGGAGTCGAGAACTTCATGCTAAGGTGCAGGGTCGAACAGACAGCTCGGAGCGCATTTAGGGTTGGTCGTCCTAGTATCATATTGTAGGAGGATGACTCCTTTACCACCGCGAAATTCACCGGGACAGTTCGGCACTTCGGTGACTCCCCTACAGTGACCATGAGGGTTATCATTCCCTCTGGCCTTACGGGCGAACCTGCAAAACCTATCAAAGGAGTTCGGACTGGGATGAGCTGCTTATCTTCCAACTGCAGCTCTTTGAAAGTTTTGTAGTATAGCACATCAATGGCACTCCCATTGTCGATGTATACCTTCTTTACCTTGTAGTTACACGTGATGACTTCTATCACAATTGCTTCATGGTTATTGGAGGCTAAGGGTACCGCGTCCTTTGGCCCATAGATGATCTCCTCGTACATCTTTAAACGTTTGTTCGAGCTCTCCCCGCTGGGGGGAGGCCGGTTGTTTCGCCGAGCCGTATGGCTATCTCCCCCCGCAGGTCCCCCTGCAATAGTGTTGATTACTCCGGCTAGGTTCTGAACCCCCTGCTCCGGAGTCCGATCACGGGGTCCCCGAGGTCGGTCGTGCGAGCTGGTCGTCCGATCTCGCTTGAACCCCCCTTGCTTCTGATCTGATCGCCCGTCACGGACGAACTGCCCGAGATGACCCCTTCGTATCAGCTTCTCGATCTCCTTCTTGAGGTGTCGACAGTCCTCAGTATCGTGCCCAACGTCCCTGTGGTAAGCACAATACAAGCCCTGGTCGCGCTGGTTTTTGTCGCCAGCCAGTGGCCGAGGAGGGCGAGAGATCCCTTGTTGTTCCATTACGGCAAGAACCCGAGCTCTGGGCGCGGTAAGGGAAGTCCATGTCTTTTCCTTCTCCCATGGTCGGCTCCGGGGTAAGCGTTCGGGTACATTTTTCCGTGACTGACCTGGTCGCAACTCACCCAGGTCGGCGCCCTTCTTACGCTTGTCGTCTCGCAGCCTTTCCTGGACGCCCTTCAATCGATTGGCCTCCTCGGCATTTGCCTTTTCGTGAGCTCGATCCAGCATCTCCCGAACAGACTTGGGAGGTCTTTCGACAAACTCCGTATACAACTTCTACTTGCGTAACCCATTCACAAAGGCAGCCATCACCACCTTGTCATCTCGGTCACGCACCTGAAGGGATTCATTGTTGAAACGCACCATATACTCACGCAATGACTCCTCGGACCCTTGATGAACAGTCATCAGATGAGCCGTGGTTTTGGAATAGGCGCGCGAGGAGACGAACTGGGCCGCGAACAGCCGTGCGAGCTGACTGAATGACCGAACTGACCTGGGAGGCAACCCCTGGAACCACTGTCGGGCCTTTCCTTCCAGGAACATCGGAAAAGTCTTGCACCTGACCGCATCAGCAGCTGTCTGCAGACGCATCTGAGTCAGGAACGCAAACAAGTGATCCTCCGGATCTGTGGTCGCGTCGTAGGACTTCATGGACGGTATTTTGAACTTGGCAGGCAGGGGATAGTCCTCGATATCCGGCACGAAGGGAGAGGCAGTGTACCTATCCGCCTCTGGATCCAACATGAGGTCCAGTTCATCCTGGACCTGGTATTCCTCTCTCCTGTGAGGAACCTCCACCCGTGAGGGCCTCGGGACGGGCTCCGGATGGCTAGTTCGGGAGTTCCTATGAGAGGGCTCCGGAACATGGACCTGCTCGCGTGTGAGCTCCTTTCGTGCCCTCTTCAACCGAGGGCTGGGGCTCCCAGATCTGGATGCCGAACTCCCAGTTCCGCCAGCTTTTCGTACCCGGGGTTCCGGACTGGGAGGGACTCCGGATTGTCCCTTCAAGTATTTCACAATAGCCTCGAAAGTAGGCAAATTCGCGGCTACCGACTGCACCAGCTGTTCCGGCGAGATCTGCGAGAGCTCGACCCTTTCATTCCCCACGATGGCATCCTGGTGGGTGTGCTGAGGGTCACCCTGTCCGTTCCCTTCAGAACCATCCACATTCCTCTGAGATCTAGTCTTCGGCATGTTGTTCGCCAAAAAGAAGAGAACACGTTCCCACAGACGGCGCCAATTGATGCAACTGCCGAAGTGAAGATCCGAACTGAGCTGGGGGCTGCCGAGCGATCTGGTGATGCGTCCGACCTGCACGTGAGCGAGTTGCGGGGCTAAATCCCCTGGAGCAACTCCGACGATCAAGTCAGAACAAACTAGTGAGTAATAGGGTAGAGGTTGCACTATGAATAGCGTACCTTGTGTTTCCCTCACGCGTGGTATTTATAGAGTCTCAAGTAGTAGTTTCCTGGTAGGACATGGAGTCCTTATTGGAGAGAAATGGCTCCTAGGGCTCCATGACCGAGATCTGAAGATGCGGCTTCCGCAGCCCATCAGGCCCATCTGCCTGAGAGGCGGCACCAGCATGGACCTGCGAACTGACCTGACACTTCGGCCTAGCTCCTCCTGTCCGAGCTCGTGGGCCGGACCGATGTGTTCGTGGATCGGGCCGATGTGCGCCTGGGCCCCACTACATATACCAAGAGGCTTTGTTATTACAACTTACAAGTAAGTAGAGGACTTAATTGCAGCAGACTACAATCAAGAAAATTGAGACCTACCAACTTTCGGAAACTACCATCAAGAGGGATCATTGATCATCACGTGATTGGAATAAAGGACTCATCTGAGTCAATTTAAAGGACAATTCTTCTTGTGTTTAAGGATGGGGTTGGTAGTTTAAACTTGAGGCTTTCATAAATTTCTATTTTGTCCAGCTTTTTGTATGAGGTGTTCAACCTTTTTATTTAACCTTCATTTAGGTCCATGAATTAGCTGATCATATAAAGCATCCTTTCTAAATTATCTTTATTGGATAATTTCAGTTATCAAAAAGCATTTTGCCCGCTGTTTTTTTTTTCTTGTAATATTCTCTGATCTGCAGTGTAGATACGGTACTCAGGTGTAGCTTCCCAAGTTTAAGAATTTTAGTGATACAACTAGTATTACCTGATCTTGTGGTTTTGGGGAAGTGGAGGCAAGGTAGGATCATCCTTTACAGGTGGCCTTGTAATTGACGTCTTTGCAAAATGGTTCTGATAGGGAATATAATTCATATTTGGAAACATATGGAAGCAAAATCTGCAGCAAAAATTTCTAGCAGCCTTTTGTAAATTACCTTTACTTCAGTGACATTTGGAAAGACAAACTTATCTCACTTAATAGAGATTCATAAATATAGGAATCGTCAATATCTTGCTTGATAAATATGAATCTTTCTCATGGGTGCTACCTTTTTATGTGATTTATGTAGATACAAAATATTAGCTGCTTTTTTACCAAATGTCTTTTAGCTGGAAGTGTTTTGACTTTACATGGATGGTATTCTCTGTCCAACCTGTAAATAGGCTTGGTCGTTTTAAGTGGTTTAGGTAGAGATACAATGCTCTTGTCTCTATGGTCTACTTTTGATGAAATTTAATAGTGGTTCTGTTGTTGGCATTCTGCAGAAAAATCTTCCGACAACCGCTGGAACAGGTTCTAATAAGGCCACTGCAGCTGGTTGGGCTGCTTTTTTATCATGTTAGCATTTGCCTGTTGGTGGTTCGGACCTTTGTCTCCTGTTGTATTAAAAGAGATGAGAAAAAGTGAAAAGAAAATTCATAACTGAAGGAAATTCAATATGTGCTCCATCTTTGGAGGAATAATTATTCTCGGAATGTGTTGATATCGTTCTTTTGGCATACTTGGACTGCTAATCTCAAATTTATATACGTATAATAACATGACAATTCTCTTTCCTGGGTTTCTGCTCCAATGTTTGTTTTTCCTCCAAGTCGTGGTCAAAGTGGTTGAATTGCTTTTACAGGGTTGCAGTTCTTTCCCAAAGAACACGCCTTTGGGGGTATTGGGAGGAGGGAAAATGCGGGAGATGGGAGTATAATTAAGAGATTCCGGATGCCTACAATTAGAGGTGTCAAAATAGGTGATTTGAACGGGTTTGGACGCAGTGAAAATGGATAATGAATATAACTGAGTCAATCCATTTATATCCATTTAATTAGATGATTATAAATGGGTAAGTTAAAAAACGAACTAGGTAACCCATTATCCATTTATTTTAAATTTTTGTAAACTCATTTAAATTTATTTTTGCAAACTAAATTATTAATTTATATCACCTTTTGCACCCATCATTTGGTTTAAATATTTACTTATAATGTTCAATATGCCTAGTTACCAAATTTTTCCCATCTGTGCTCTATGTCCTAAAATTATATACTATTTAATAATTAAACAATAAAAAAATTTGAACTAAGTACTATGAAAGTTAAAAAAAAAAAACTATATCCAAAAACTTTGAACTTCTAGTATTTTTTTCGTGTGCAAATTTAAAATTTCATTTTGAAAAGGTAGGAAAGGAGACTAAAACTTATCATAAATTAGTAATGCTGAAAAATGAGCAAGTTAACAAACTATGAGAAAATAAAATTGTAAGATAAAAGAACAAATAATAATAAGAGTAAATGTTATATACACTGATAGTGTATACACCATTATGACAAAATGAAAAATCTGAAAAAAAATAGTGTATCTATTTGTGTCAAAAGTGCATCAAATGTTTGTTAAGGATAAAAAATAAAACATTCCACTATATACAAGGTTTCAACAATATTAATGCATGAAAGTCTCCAACAATGAGTTCAATAATCAAACATAGGCATAAATAATACCCATTTATTGGGTAATCTATTTATATCCATATGTAAAACTTTAAGATATCTATATCCATTTATTTATATGTGGATATGGATGAATAAATTTAGTTAAATGAATTTGTTTGCCACCTATACCTACAATAATATTCCCATAACTCTGGGGAGAAAATTTATGGACGCAAGGTAACACAAAGGCCCAATCTAATGGGGGGCAAAATCCAATTAATTCAAAGCTAATGATAGTCAAATATAGAACCCACCAACAGCCACCAACTACCGCCAAAACTGTACCTTTTTTTTTTTTTTTTTGAAGTATAAACTCCCGTTATTGATTAACATAAAAGAGCCGTTTGGCTTCCTTGGGTAAATTTGCTAGACGACTGGCTCCTTAGGTGGGAAAGCTTTCGAGAAAGCATAAAATTGCGGTACTTCCTTTTGACTCACCTCCTCAATCTTTCTCATCACCTACCTCACAGAGTCACAGGTATCGACAGTAATATTCCTATACTTTTATGTTTTTTGTTTTATTTTTTTCTTCCTAAACATTTTTATTGTTTCTAATGTAATTCTGCTGCCAGTTTAGGTTGGATATTCATTTTCAGGAGCTGTCAATCATAAAATATTGGTGGGTTTTTTTAAAGGTAGAGGCTTTTGGGTTTGATGTTCTTGAGATTGATGAATTATGACTACTTTTGCATCTGCTCTGATGATTTACTTTTGAATTTTTGGGTAGCTGGGTTTTTCCCTTTGCTGTTAATATTAATTTGACTTTTTCTTTCTTTGATTTTCTTTGATCCTTCCATGGTTCTCACCTGCCATCTGGTGCTACTTTTTAATTATTGTTTTCTTCAGCATTCTGTCAATTTGGTTCATTTTGAAGTATAGCTTGATTATAGGAATACTCATAATGGGCTTGGCATGTTTATCAAATTAAAATAATAAATGTTTATCATCTGCCTTCAATTTTTGTTATGCACTATTTTTTAGAAGTTTCAAGTTGTGATTTTTGGAGTTACAAATATGCTTTCTTTAACTGCTTGGCTATTTTCATCTTAGTTGAGACATAGTTTGCCCTGAACTGGTAAACGCAAAGATCACCATTAGAAGAAGATTAAATTGAACGCACTTGGTAGTGGATATCAATCTTCTAAGGAGGAGTTGGAAGTTTTCTGCTCTACTTCATGGTTTTAGACTCTTAGTCATTTTGGCTTTTACGTTTCTATGCTTTCCTCTTTATCTTTATTTACATTTCCATCTGTACTATTTTCTTTTAATCCTTCTTGCTTTCTGCAATCTTGGTTTTTTGTTGCTGTTACTTTTTCTTTTTTTAATTGAAATATCCATTGTACAAACCAAATCTTAAAAATGAAAAGCAAAGAACTTGAAAATTCCAGGAGAAGAAGAAGAAGAAGAAGCAGAGAAGATGGGAGCTATAAAACAGACATTTTTCATATCACATGGATCACCCACCCTTTCCATAGATGAGTCGTTGGCTGCGAGACGCTTCTTGCAGGGTTTTAGAGAAACTGTCTTTAGCCAGAGACCAAAAGGCATTCTAGTGATATCTGCCCATTGGGATACTTCGGAACCCTCTGTGAATGTCATCCATGGCTGTCACAACACTATCCATGATTTCTATGGCTTCCCCAGGCCTATGTACGAGGTGCTCTCCAGTTCTCTTATTTATTTATTTGTTTGTTTCATTCTCTCTTTTTTGTACTTGCATATACACTAATAGACCTACACATCTAAGTGTGTCCATGTGTTCAAGCATATGACACGTAGGTGTGCTCTGTAAATGTTTATCAGTAATCTGCTTATCTCATGTTAATCTTGAATCTATCTTTTACTAGAATTAATTTGTTTCAAAGTTAGTCTGGAGAAAGACAAGGATCCCTGCTAATGCTAAGGAAAAACAAAGATGAAACTTGAAAGAATTTGCTTTAAGGTTAATCTGCAAGACAATGATACCACCAGTCTGATCCTAAGGAAACTAAAGGAGAAACATGAAATACATCACTAAACTCGTTTTTGAGAAATAAAGAAAAGACAGTATAATACTCAAGAGGATTTGTCAAATCATCATATTACTCTGGTTGAATTGGGTTGCAGCTGCTGCACGTAATCCTTTATGGATGTGTAGCTGTAGTTGAGGTCTATTTATATATCCTTACAATGCATAATGAGGAGGAAACATGAATCTTGTTGGTTTTTTGTTTGTGCACATTAACCTTCTTATGGGCTGATTTGTAAAAGGCACTTCATTTATAACATGCCTTTAACTATGATAGGTTTGAGACTTTTATGATATTTGAT